AAATTCAATCATGACACTAAAGAAAACCATTAATCACAAAAGAGAGCAAGAGAAGAAGAAAGGAAAAAGAGAACTACAAAAACCAGAAAGCAAGTGACAAAATGGCAATAAGTACATACCAATTAATAATTACTTTAAATGTAAATGGTCTGAATGCTCCATTCAAAAACAAAGGGTGACAGAATGGTTAAGAAAAAAGAACCCATTTATATGCTGCCTACAAGAAACCCACTTCAGTCCTAAAAACACACAGAATGAAAGAGAAGGGACAGAAAAAAGCTATTCGATGTGAACAGAAGTGGAAAGAAAAAAAAAAAAGCCGGGCAACAATGCTTATATCAGACAAAGAGACTTTAAAACAAAGACTATTACAAGAGACAAAGAAAGGCACAAATAATAAGAAAGAAATCAATCCAACAAGAAGATCCACAACTGTATTTATGTACATAAAGCTGGAGCACCTGAAGACATAAAGCAATTATTAACAAACATAAAGGGCAGAAACTGCAAGTAATAACAAGAACAGCAGGGGGCTTTAATACACCCTTCACCTCCATGGATAGATCGTCCAGGTACAAAATCAATAAAGAAAGAGTGTAAGCAAATGACACATCCAACCAAATGGACTTAACTGACATGTATAGTATATCCTGTGCAACAACAAAGGAATACGTTCTTTTCAAGTGCACATGGAACATTTTTCAGGAAAGATCACGTTACGCCACGAAACAAGTTTCAATAAACTAAGATTGAAATCATATCAATCCTTTCCAACCAAAACAGTATAAAAATATAAATCAATTACAAGAGAAACACTGGAAAAAACATGTGAAGGCTAAACAACATGGTACTGAACAACCAGGGGGTCAATGAAGAACTCAAATGAAAATGAAAACACAACAGTCCAAAATCTTTGTGATACAGTGAAAGCAGTAATAAGAGGAAAATTTGTAGAAACACAGGCCTATCTCAAGAAAATAAACAATTTAACCTTATACATAAAGGAACTAGGGAAACACAACAACAGCAACAAAAGCCCAAAGTTAGTAGAAGGAAAGAAATAACACACATTAGAGCAGAAATAAATGAAAGAGACTATAAAAACAATAAAGAAGATCAATGAAACCAAGAGCTCATTCTTCACAAAGAAACAAAATTAATAAACCTTTAGCCAGACTCGTTGAGAAAAAAAGGACTCAAAATCAGAAATAGAAGTTACCGACACCACAGAAATACAAAGGACTAGGAGTCTATTACAAAAAATTATATGCAGGGATCTGCCCTCAGCTCAGGTCATGATCCCAGGGTTCTGGGATCAAGCCCCGCATCAGGCTCCCTGCTCAGGAGGGAATCTGCTTCTCCCTCTGTCCTTCCCCGTTTGTGTGCTCTGTCTTGTGCTCGCTCTCCCTCTCTCAAATAAAGAAAATTAAAAAAAAAAAAATTATATGCCAACAACTTTGACAACTTAGAAGAAATGAATAAATCATTAGAAACATACAACCTTCCAAGACAGAATCAGGAGGAAACAGAAAATCCAAACAGACCAAGTAATTGCTAGTAACAAAACTGAACCAATTATCAAAACAGTCCCAACAAACAAGTCTAGAACTTTTGAAGCCAAATGGCTTCACATGTGAATTCTATCTAACACTTAAAGAACAGTTCATACCTATTCCTCTCAAACTATTCCAAAAAACAGAAGAAGGAAAATTTCCAAATACATTCCATGATGCCAGTATTACCCAAATTCCAAAACAAGACAAAGACACTACAAAAAAAGAAAACTGCAGGTCAATGTCTCTGATGAACACAGATGCAAAAATCCTCAACAAAACATGAGCAAACCAAATTCACCAATACACTGAAAACAATCATTCACCACGATCAAGTGGGATTTATTCCAGGGTTGCAAAGATGGTTCAATATCTAAAATCAATCAAAGTGATACACCACATTAACAAAATGAAGGACAAAAGTCCTAAAATCACCTCAATAGATTCAGAAAATGAATGTGACAAAAACCAATATCCATTCATGATAAAAACTCAACAAAGTGGGTTTAGAGGGAACATACCTCACATAATAAAGGCCATATATGACAAACGCACAGCTAACATCATACTCAATGGTGAAAAACTGAGAGCTTTTCCTCTAAGACTGAACAGGGCAAGAATGTCCACTCTTGCCACTTTTATTCAATACAACACGGGAAGTCCCAGCACTAGCAATAAGACAAGAAATAAAAGTCATCCAAATTGGTAAGGAAGAGGTAAAACCATCACTGTCAGTGTTATGACAGGATAATACATATAGAAACCCCTAAAAACTCTACCAAAAAATGAGTAGAATGCATTTATTCAGTAAAGTTGGAGGATACAAAATTAATATACAAAAATCTCTTGCATTTCTATACACTAATAATGATAGTGATAGATAATAATAATTAAGTAGGAGAAAGGCAAGTTAAGAAAACCATCCCATTTTACAGTTGTGCCAGAAAGAATAAAATACCTAGAAACAAATTTAATCCAAAAGGTGAAAAACCTGTACTCTGAAAACTCTAAGACACTGATAAATGGAAGATGACACAAACAAATGGAAAGATATACCACACTTGTGGACTGAAAGAATACTGTTAAAGATGTCCATTCTACCCAAAGCAATTTACAGATTCGGTGCAATCCCTATCAAAATACCAACAGCAATTTTCACAGAACTACAACAAATAATCGTAAAATTTGTATAGAATCAGAAAAGACCCCAAACAGTGAAAGCATTCTTGAGAAAAAGAACAAAGCTGAAGTTACCCCAGATTTCAAGTTATCCCAGATTTCAAGCTATAGTACAAAACTATCGTAATGAAAACCAGAGTGGTACTGGCACAAAGAGAGACACAGTTCAGTGGAACAGAACAGAGAGCCCAGAAATAAACCAGCGCTTATAGGGTCACTCTATTACAAAAGGGAAAGGAATATACAATGGGGAAAAGACAGTCTCTTCAATAAGTGGTTCTGGGAAACATGGACAGCCACATGTAAAAGAATAAAACCAAACCACTTTCTAACACCATACACAAAACAAACTCAAAATGCATTGAAGACCTAAATGTAAGACCTGAAACCATAAAACTCCTAGAAGAGAACACAGGCAGTAATTTCTCTGACATTGGCTGTAACAACACTTTTATGTCTCCTAAGGCAAGGTAAACAAACGTAAAGATAAACTATTAGGACTACACCAAAATAAAAACCTTTTGTAAAGTTAGGGAAACCATCAACAAAACAAAAACACAACCTACTGAATGAGAGAAGATATTTGCAAAGGATATATCCAATAAAGAGTTCATGTCAAACATATACAAAGAACGAACACAACGCAACATGCCAAAACACAAATTATAAATAAAACAATGGGCATAGAACCTAAATAGACATTTTTCCAAAGAAGACAAAGAAATGATGGCCAACAGACACATGAAAAGATGCTCAACATCACTAATCATCAGGGAAACAAAACCACAGTGAAATACCACCTTATGACAGAGTCAGAGTGGCTAGTATCAAAAAGACAATAAAAAAACAAGTGCTGCTGAGGATGTGTAGAAAAGGAACCCCGTAAATTGGTACAACCAATGTGGAAAACAGTATGCAGATTCCTCAAAAAACTAAAAATAGAAATACCATTATGATCCAGTAATCCCACTACTGGGTATTTACCTAAAGCAAGCGAAAACACTAATTCAAAGAGAGAGATGCACACCTATGTTTATTGCATCATTATTTACAATAGCCAAGATATGAAAGCAACCTAAGTGATCACTGATAGTTAAATGGATAAAGATGTGGTGTGTACACATACATACACACACACACACCCCAGAGTATTAGTCATAAAAATGAATGAGATCTTGTCATTTACAACATGGACAGAACCAGAGGATATTATGCTAAGTGAAATAAGCCTGACAGAGAAAGACAAATACTATACGATTTCACCAATACGTGGAATCTAAAAAGAAAAAACAAAATAAAGCAAAAACAAGCAAACAAGTAGAAACAGACCCATAAACAGAACAAAGTGGTTATGAGAGGCAGGGCGGGGGGGGATGGTATGGATGAACCGTGGAGGGGAGTAGGACATGTAGGATTCCAGTTATAGAATGTATAAATCACAAAAATAAAAGGTACAGTATACTGTTAACAGCACTGGACAGCAACAGATGATAGCTACATTTGTGAACACAGCATAATGTGTATAGTTCAATCACTATGTTGTACACCTGAAACTAATGTAACATTGTGTCAACTGTACAGCATTATAAAAAAGAAATCAATGAAGTATAATCTTTTCAACAAAAGGATTTGAACCGGATTTTCATGTGGAAAAAAGTGAAACTTGATCTTTATACTATGCACAAAAATTAACAAAAAATACCACAGATCTAAATGTTAAATAAAATTATGAAAATGGTTAAAGACTACTTATAGAGAACATAAGAAACACAAATTATAAAAAAAAATTTCTCAGGGCACCTGAGTGGCTCAGTCGTTAAGCATCTGCCTTCGGCTCAGGTCATGATCCCAGGGTCCTGGGATCAAGCCCCACATCAGGCTCCCTGCTCAGCGGGAAGCCTGCTTCTCCCTCTCCCACTCCCCCTGCTTGTGTCCCCTCTCTCGCTGTGTCTCTGTCAAATAAATAAAATCTTTAAAAAAGAAAAAGAAAAAAGGGGTAGGCTTACTGTAAAAGAACATGAGTGAGCATTCTGGGAATATGAAGATGGTTTATATTCTGATGGTGGTGGTTATATGTGTATATAAATTTGTCAAAATACACTTAACTGTCCACGGCCACCCTGAGTGCACCCGATCTCATCTGATCTCAGAAAATACACTTAACTTAGCATTAATACATATAGTTATATGAAAGTTATACTAGGATATGTGTTTAATCACAAAAATTTAAGAAGCATGTTTTCATATTAATTCTTCAGGGGAGCTTACCTTATTGAGTGCAACAATGAAGGGACATTTTTTAGATTTCAGAAGGTTAATAGATTCAATTGTCTGGGGCTCCAAACCATGCATAATATCAACGACTAAAATGGCAATATCACATAGAGAGCTTCCTCTGTTTCTCAGATTACTGTTGAAAAGAGGGAAAAGATGCATAAATAGAAATCTTGAAATTACTCTTTTAAAGAAACAAATGTTTCTTTGTAAAACCTAAATGAAAAAAACAAAATGAAGCACATGCATTAAAAATTTAAGTGCCATTAGCCCTTAACTTGCCAAATGCTTATCTGACATAGTGAACTGACATCAGCTGGAATAAGTTAGTTCCAGAAGTTACTCCAGTATTTCTGCAAATTGTATTGGCCAAGTTTTTTGCACTAAGGAATACAGCTAAGAGGCAACAGAATAAATTCCACGTATAATGGGTTTCACAGGAGATAGACCAAGTATGTATTAGGATTTGGTCTTTCAAAGTAGGAAAGATCTCTATAAAAAACAGGTATACTTGGGGCGCCTGGGTGGCTCCGTCATTAAGCGTCTGCTTTCGGCTCAGGTCATGATCCCAGGGTCCCGGGCGAGCCCCACGTCGGGCTCCCTGCTCAGCAGGGAGCCTGCTTCTCCCTCTCCCACTCCCCCTGCTTGTGTTCCCTTTCTTGCTGTCTCTCTCTGTCAAATAAAATCTTTAAAACAAAAACAAAAAAACAAGTATCCAAATAAACTACTACTTATTCAGTAGGCACAGATGATGATTGGTAGCTACAGGGACTACAGATCTTAAAATACTACCTCAATGTTGCCTAATCAGACTTTCCCACTCACTGAACTTTTAGATTTAATGGTTTTAGTAGTTTGTTTGATGCCAAATAACACAAGTTGCTCTTACCTGAAAGACTCATGCCCAGGAGTATCAATAATGAGCATTCCTGGAATTCGTACGTTCTCTCTATCAAACTAGAAAAGGTGGGGAAAAGTAGAGAGCTTAAGAAAGTCAAAGCAATGGAAGTTTCTTTATAAAAACAATTATTCAGCCAAGAAAACTTAAAAACATCACCACTTTCTTTTCTAAATAAATGGTTTTACTACAGTCAGTGAATCAACCAGCAAAGCACAATAGTCAATATTTTCATTAATCAAAAGGAGTTTGCAGGGGGAATGAAATGAGAAAATATTCTCTTTGTTAAGGTCATAAAACACGGTGTACTCTAATTCTGAGCAGATTATCAATAAGTAACAAATGACAACAGTCGTCTGAGAGTGATTATCTATAAAAAGGTAACATGCAAGAAGAGGTTCTGACAACTTGAAAAATGTATCTGGTCCAACTTTAAAGCAATTTTAAACTTTGAAAAAATATCCTAAAGTATGTTTTAAAGAAAATTTACTACACCAACCTAAAATATTAAAGAAAGACTGCTTTATTTAAATAACATCATAAACACTTGACTTTCTGGACAAAAGTTCTTTAATGAATGGAAAAAAATTACAGCATGCCTGATACGGACATTCTCTTTTACCCTAAAGAGTGGACTGACCAACAAATCTCTCACATACACGATTTTTTTTACTTGCTTATCTATACTTTCTATTAATCTTCAAGTGATTTTTCAAAATCTTATCTCCTGATCTAGGTCAAAATGATTCAAATGTAAAACATCTCATATTTGCATTCTGACGATCTTAAATCAACATTCACTGAGCACCATAATTATTTCCACTTCAGTGTCTGGAATACAAGCAATTATAATTGTCATATAAAAGTTATCCTGAAAACTTTAATACAGACCTAATAAAAATCATGCTCTTTAACTGTGTTGTAAAGTAACACCAGATTTCAAGTTCTGGCAACTAGTAGAATTAGCTATTATAAATCCTCAATGACTAACACATAGAAATATCAGATAAATTACAACCAAGATAAATTTTAAATTATGAATTTGAAAAACTGTAATTTAAGAAAACTGTCCTAAAATAAAGATTTTAAATTACATACTCAAATAGAACTGAAAAATTTCCACATAACTGGAAAACTGACCCAGAACAATCCAACCCCAAAATGCAAAAAGGCCACATTACTTATAAAAGGATGAAAACCAGCTTATGATCAAACCTGAAAGGCAATATTTTATGTGAGAAGAAACGCAAGTAAGCTTTAAGATATTTAAGGAAAGAAAATGTCAATCAAGGATTTTATATGTAGCCAACTAACTTTCCAGGGTGAAGGCCACAAAGTAGGTATGCAATATTCAAAAACTCAAAGAGTATTACTCCCCTTACTCCTTCCTTAGGAATCTACCAGAAAACAAGCTTCATAAAACACAATTTCAACCAAACCACCCCCCTCCAACCACCACCACCAATTGGAGACAAACTCATAGACCCTTTCGATATATAAAACTAAGACCAAAGAAAGAATAAAGGGAGATACTAGCATATAATAATTTGTGCTCTGTATGTCAGTTATCAGTTTTGTTACTCCTTAGTTCCAAATTTACCTTTTTTACCTGCTCTGTGATAATGGAACTAGGGAATTTTTACAAGGCTCAGTTGCAAAACTGGAGCACCGTATGTATAAGATGAGCCTAAAACATCCTGCTACATCAGACTCAAGGATGCAACCAAAGACTACTAAAACTGAATCAAAAAGACTCAGGAGTCAATCACTGGATGAAAATGAGACTATATCACCACAAGAATAAATGAATTAAAACACAGTAAATATGTTAATTCATGAGTTTATAGTAAAACAAAACCAAACCACTCTTTATTAACATGGATAAAGGGCTTGGAATAACAACATTTTGCAACCTCTAACACATTAAAAGGTAGAGATTACTTTAAAAATTCCTTGTGAGTAGAAGAGTGTTTCGATTGGAAAGGGACCTAACAGAGGTCTTCTTGAGGTAAGGGCCAAGGTTCTATGTCCTAACACAGGTGACACAAAAGTATTTGCTTTATAATGATTCATTAAGCTTTACCTTAATCTCATGTGATTTTATTTATTTTGAATAAACTGAGTATCTCCAACGCAGAAAATATTAGGGAGATAAAGAAAATACAATCACAGTGTGATTGAAGGAAAAGAGGGTGGGGGAGGAAACAGTTTTTCAACACGGAAATCTACAGGAAAAGTGTTAAAACATGCAGGGGAACAATATACTCTAACTTCAAAATAGCATTTGCCTTTGGGAGCAAGAGGAAAGGAAATGAAAAATGAGGGCTCCTATAACATCTAATGTTTTCCTTAAAAAAAAAAAAAAACTCAAGTAAAATTGAACAAAATGGCACAAGTATTAATTATGAATAGTGAGCATATGGATCTTTATACTATTCTTTTTTTCTGTACCTGAAATAATTTATACCTTAATTTCTGTTAGAGATTAAAACACACCAAATACAGCGTACTTACATTTTTAATCATCTTAGTCTGTTCGTTAATAGCTTCCAGGGGAACATTGGTGGCCCCAATTTGTTGTGTAATGCCGCCTGCTTCACCATCTTGTACATGTGTGTGACGAAGCTGGGATGAGACAGCAGATTCAGATTTGTATTTTGAAATATAAAAAGAAGAAACAGCAGTAAGAAAGTAGCAACCTATTTAATGTAACAGAACTGCCTATCTGTGCTTTGGTTTCTATTAGCTTTTTATAAGGTATCATTCACTTACTTAAAAAGTTATATGCTAACAATATTTTCTTACTTTATCTAGAATTTTTGTCTTCCCTGTGTCCACATGTCCAAGTACACAAATAACAGGAGCTCTTAGCTTTTCTGTATTTACATTTTTACTATGTTCAAGTCGCCGTTTCTAGGAATAAATAAAAAAAAAAAAATCACAAAATTATTATTTCAAACCCTATCATTACTGTCCTTTAAATTATGTTGCCTTGGCAAGAGAATGCCACAACCATCATCCAAGTTTTTTGTTAACTTAACTATATGTAATTGCATTTTACAACATAACCTTTACATTCTAATTCCCATTACAGTACCTTTGAACAAAGAGAAACCTGTTAAAATAAATTTCAGGACAACAATGTTAAATATGAGTAAAAATAGTGTGAAGTTTTGGCTTCAACTTTCTGAGCACTTTTGTACATTGCTTATTTAAAAGAAAAGTGATCTTATATTCCATTCAGTACATATACAATACATCATCTAGCTTATGTGAGGGTTTTTATAAAAGGAGATATACTCTTGCATTCAAACAATTTCATTAGAACTTCAAAACTATAAATTTTTTTTTTTTAAAGATTTTATTTAATTATTTGAGAGAGAGCGAAAGAGTGCCCACGAGTGCACAAGCAGGGGGAAATGGCAGGCAGAGCAGGCAGAGGGAGAAGCAGGCTCCCCACTGAGCAGGGAGCCTGATGAGGGACTTGATCCCCAGACCCTGGGATCATGACCTGAGCTGAAGGCAGGCATTTAACCAACTGAGCCACGCAGGCATCCCAAAACTATAAAATATTTTAAAGCAATATATTTTTAAACTTTATCCAGTGTACAAACACTATAAAACCTTTCAATTGAGAGACGGTTTATTTAATCCCCGGCCTAAGATATCCAATGACATTTCCTACCTTCTTAAGATACCACTCATTAGGCATGACAAGCATGTCCTTGCATCACAATGTATTTCTCTTGTAGCATTTATCTAGATACTTCAGCTTTCTAAGAACCAAACAAAAACACACATGCCAGCAGCAATTTGAAATGCCAACTTTTCAAGTACAGTAAAGCTGGCATTCAAATGAGATAAGACTTTCATCAAAATTCTGAAGTAATTTCCAAAACATCTTCCATCTAAAAACCCTTTTTTTAAAATTTCTTTACTTTCATTTCTACCACTAGACACTGGATCTTTCTACAGAAAATGGAATGAAAAAACATTTTGGAAGGTCAAAAGTCAGATGTGAATATTTACTAACAAGGAGTAGTACACAAGAGCTTTATATTCTATGACTCAAATGCAAGCATCATGACCTTAGCTAGGATTTGATTATGGTTGAAAATGGCCTTTTTCTCTCACACTTGGTGTAGCATTAAAATTTTCTGGAGGGCAATACAGTATAGACTTTAACTCAGAAATTCTACCTGTAAGTATCTGTCCTGAAGCAATGACATAAGCATTCAGAAATGCATGTGTAGAGCAGTGTTCGTTCACTGCAGTACTGTAACAGCAAAAATGAGTAACCACTTAATCATCTGTAGCTGGGATTTCTTAATGAATATTTCCTCAATCCCAGGGCTGAAAACTATCTGGTTGCATAGAATCGCTTAGATACCCCTATCCACAATGGAGATTCTTACTGAGGAAGTCTGGTATGGATTTTAGAAAATTATACGTAGCAAGGTTTTGGAACCATGAAATTTGTTATGGACTTAATTTTATCTCTCCCAAATTCATACACTGAATCCCTAACTCCCAATGTGACTGTATTTGGAGATAGGGCCTTTGAGGAGGTAATTAAAGTTAAATGGGTAGGGCCCTAATCCAATAGGACAGATGTCCTTACAAGAGGAGAAATAAGAAAAACCTCTCTCTGGGCATGCATGGAGTAAAGGCCATATGAAGACTCAGTGAGAAAGCAGCCATCTGCCACCAAGAAGAGAGCTCTCACCAGGAAACAACCCTGCTGACGCTTTCATCTTGAACTTTTAGCCTCAATAGCTATCAGAAAATAAATCTCTATTGTTTAAGGCACTCAGTCTGAGGAGATCAAAAAGATAGAAAACCTTTCACTAGTTTGACCGGGGGCGGGGAGGGCGGGGGAGGGGCCACAGATCACCAAAATTAGAATCAAAAGAGACACCACTACTAACCTTACAGAAATGTAAAGGATTATAAAAGGATACCATAACTCTGAGAAACAAACTGAGGATTTTCGAGGGGAGGAGGAGGGGGATGGGTTAGCCCGGTAATGGGTATTAAGGAGGGCACATATTGCATGGAGCACTGGGTATTATATGCAAACAATGAATTGTGGAACACTACATCAAAAACTAATGATGTACTGTATGGTGACTAACATAAAATAATAAAAAAAAAGATACCATAAACTTTATACTCACAACTTAGATGAAACACAATAGGTTAGAAAGACAAAAATTACTGACAATGACTCAAGATGAAAAAGAAAATATGACAAAGAGATAACAATATAACAAGAAACTGTATTAGAAATTTATAAGTATTCGAAAGACAAAAGCTTTGTTAGTTATTTTGCCAAACACTTAAAACCGGAAAAACAATCTTTCAAAACCTCTTGCAGAAAAAAAGAGGAGGAAGGAACACTTCGTGACTAAACCTAGGAAGCTAATTTTAAACTGACACCAAAGCCAGACAAACAAAACAAAAGAAAGTTACTGATCAATATCCTCATGGGTATAGATCACAAAAACCTCAACAAAATATTACAAACCAAATCTAGTAACATATAAAGAGGATTATACCAGGATCAACTGGGATTTATTCTAGGAATGCAAGGTTGGGCTTAACATTTGAATACCAATACATCATACATTAATACAAAAAAGAAAAAAGAATTTCAATACACCTAGAAAAGGCACCCATTTCCATTCATGATATGAACTTTCAACAAACTGAAAATGATAAAAGGCACTACCATTAACACCACAGTTAACAGTGAAAATCTGAATGCTTTCCCCACAAAGATTGAAAACAAGGCAAGTACGTCTGCTCTTACCACTTCTACTCAATAGTGTACTGTTCTAGCCAGGGAAATCAGGCAAAAAAAAAGAAATAAGCAGCAATGAGATTGGAAAGTAAGAATTAAAACTGTCTTTGATAGAGGACATAACAGTGATTATAAGAAATTCTAAGGAATCCATAAAAAATTATTAGAAAAATATTTCAATATAGTTAAAGGATATGAGATCTATAAAACTCAGTTGTATTTCTTTATACTAAAAATGAAAAAATTTTTTAAATTTGTGAACCCATTTTCAATAGCATCAAAAACAATAAAATACCTAGTAATAAATTTAACAAAAGAATTACAAATCTTAAACTGAAAACTATGAGACACTACTGGAAGAAACTGTAGAAGATCCAAATGAATGGAGAATCAGCCTATTTCATAGACTGGAAGATTCAATATTATTAAAATAAATGATAATTCTCCCTAAAGTTGATCTACAGATTCAACACAATCTCCATCTAAATCTGAGCAAGTTTTTTGCAGAAATTGACAAGGTGACCATAAAATTTATATGGAAAAGCAAGTGACCTAGAATAGCCAAAACAAACTTGAAAAAGAGTAACAACATTGTAGAACTTATATTTGCCTACCTCAAAACCTATTATAAAGCTATAGTAATGAAAACAGTGTGGTACTGGCATAAGAACAGATAATACAGATGATGAAACAGAACGGAAAGTCTGAGATCAGATCAGAGATAGAGCTAAAGATACAGGAAACTAAAGGCAGAAATTTAGAAAAAAAATTAGGACAAAATATTCATGACCTTGGGTCAGACAATGATTTCTTTAATACAACACTAGAAGCGTGCTCTATAAAAGCAAGTTTTGATAAAATGGATGTTAACAAAATTAAAAATTTATTCACTTCAAAAGAAACTTAAAAAAATGAAAAGAACTCTCACAACTCAATAAAAAGACAAATTACAAAATTTAAAAATCGATGAAAATTTGAATAGATGTTTCACCAATGAAGATACAAGAATGGCCAAGAAGCACAATTGAGAAATGCTCAACATCACTGAAATGCAAATCAAAATCACAGTAAGATATACTATTTCATATCCACTAGAATGACTATAATTGAAAAGACAGATGTTAACAAGTATTAGTGAAGATGCAGAGAAACTACTAAAACCCTCAACTGGTGGGAATCTATAATTGTGCCACTCTGGAAAATAGTTTAGCACTTTCTGAAAAAGTTACACAAAAATTTACCATATGATCCAGCAATCTCACTCTTAGGAATATATAAAAAAAAAAATGAAAACACATTTCCATACAAAGGATTATATGCAAATGTATATAGTAGTACCATTTACAATAGCCAAAAACTGGAAACAACTCAAATATCCTCTAATTAGTGATGAGATAATAAAATATGGTATACTTATAGAACACTATTTGGCAATAAAAATGAACAAAATTCTGATACAGCTATAACCAGAGTAAGTGAAATAAGATAGACATAAAAGACCACATAATATATGACTGAAATTTATAGCAGTCACCTCCTTATCCAGGAGGTAATACATTCCAAGACCCTCAGTGGATGCCTGAAAATGCAGACAGTACAAAACGCTACATATACTATGCTTTCTCCTATACATATCTAAAATAAATTTAGGGGTGCCTGGGTGGCTGTCGGTTAAGCATCCGACTCTTGATTTCAGTTCAGATCATGATCTCAGGGTTGTGAGATCAAGCCCTGCAGTGGACTCTGTGCTGGGCATGGAACCTGCTTAAGATTCTCTCTCTCCCTCTCCCTCTGCCCCACCCTCCTAAAAAAAAAAAGTTAAATTGATAAATTAGGCACAGTGAGAGATTAACAATAACTAGTAATAAAAAAGAACAATGATAAGAATATACTGCAGAAAAGTTATGTGAGGGGCGCCTGGGTGGCTCAGTCGTTAAGCGCCTGCCTTTGACTCAGGTCATGATCCCAGGGTCCTGGGATCTAGCCCTGCATGGGGCTCCCTGCTCAGCAGGAAGCCTGCTTCTCCCTCTCCCACTCCCCCTGCTTGTGTTCCCTCTCTCACTATGTCTCTCTCTGTCAAATAAATAAATAAAATCTTTAAAAAAAAAAAAAAGCTACGTGAATGTGATCTCAAAGTATCTTATTGTACTGTACTCACCATTCTTCTTGTGATGATGTGAGATTATAAAATGCCTATGTAATGAGATGAAGTTAGTGAATAATATAGTGTTAGGCTACAACTGACCTTCTGACAATACAAGAGAAGGAGGATCATCAGCTTCCAGACTGCAGTTGACCATAGGTAGCTGAAACCATGGAAAGCAGAACTGTGGATGGGTGGACTGGGAGAGTGGGGGTGGGAACTGTTGTATATGTGGGGCTAGGAACAGGGAATGACTACAAATTGGGACAAGAAATCTTTTTGAGGTGATGAAAATAAAGTTGAGTTGTGATAACAGATGCACAACTCTACAAACTTACAAAATATCACTGAATTGTACACTTAGAATGCATCAATTCATTAGTACCTAAATCATATCCCAACAAAGCTGCTTAAAAATTTGCTGGGTGAAGAGGTCCAGAGCATACTGTTATGTGGAAAAAAAGAAAATATTGGGAAGCACGGGTGGGCTCAGTCAGTTAAGCGTCTGCCTTCAGCTCAGGTCATGATCCCAAGGTCCTAGGATTGAGTCCCCCAATGGGCTCCTTGCTCAGCGGGGAGCCTCCTTCTCCCTCTGCCTGCCGCTCCCCCTGCTTGTGCTCTCCCTTCTCTAATAAATAAGTAAATAAAATCCTTAAAATATATATATATCTACAAAATTTATTATCTTAGTTTTAATTAAACATTTTAAAAAACTTGAAGCTCATGTACAGAACTATAACACAAGTCTGGGAAGTGAGATAATGGGGAAACTTTCTGCATTATATCCATTGTTTTTATTTTTTTTATAAATATTTTTATTTATTTGACAGAGAGAGATAGTGAGAGCAGGAACACAAGCAGGGGGAGTGGGGGAGGGAGAAGCAGGTTTCCTGCTGGGCAGGGAGCCCGATACGGGGCTCGATCCCAGGACCCTGGGATCATGACCTGAGCCAAAGGCAGATGCTCGAAGACTGAGCCACCCAGGTGCACCAATACCCCTTGTTTTTAAATCTTCAAACACATCACACATGGGTAGAGAGTAAGGGAGTTGGCTTGATTAGGTGCTGTGGGAAGCAGCAGTTACAACAGGGAAGAAGGGAGGGGAATGCCACTGGTATCTAGTGGGTGGAGGGCAAGGATGCTGCTTAACATCCTAAATGAAGAGGACTGTCCCACAACATAATTATATGGCCCAAAGATATCAACAGTGGCAAGGGTGAGAAATCCCAACTTACAACAATAGATTTTCTTAGTCCTTTAGAAATTCAGAAAATGTATCCCTTTAATAGACTTTACAGGATTAGGCAAACATTGATATTTAAAAATACACAGGTTATTTAAAAAAAAAAATCAATTAAAAAACTGAAAATTAGAATTCTAAATGAAAATATTTTTTAAAAGAAGAAAGCTAAAATCGTTTATAACTTTGAAATACTTTAACATCCTTAAGCAAACCAGTTTTTAGTATATTATTTATACTAAGCTGACATAATTAAAGAAAACTCTCAAGTCTATTGCATTAAGTAGGAAAAATATAGTAAGCATGCTAGGTATGTACACTTTGCTAAATAGAAAGATGCCTCGGGGGCGCCTGGGTGGCTCAGTCGTTAAGCATCTGCCTTTGGCTCAGGTCATGATCCCAGGGTCATGGGACCAAGCCCCACGTTGGGCTCCCTGCTCAGCGGGGAGCCTGCTTCTCACTCTCCCACTCCCCCCTTGCTTGTGTTCCCTCTCTCGCTATCTCTGTCAAAAAATAAATGAAATAAAATCTTTAAAAAAAGATGCCTCATTAACCCACCAGATTTCAATAACTAGAGTCATCAGATGCCTCACAGTGACTAACCTAAAATACACAAGGCAAACACCAGTTTAACCCTTTAGGACTACAGGGTATATGCTCAGAGTATCTCTGCATACCCTTAAACAAACATTTAAAGAGCACATCAAAATTTGGAGAAAACAAATAAAAACAATAAAGCAGTATACCATTCTGACTTAGATGAGGGAGTAAGGTGCTTAGGTTAGATCAATGTCAAAGACCCAATGTCCAACCCAAGGTCATGAATATTCTGTCCTGTTTTCCACCCCCCTAAATTTACACCTTTAGTTTCTTTTATCTTTAGCTCTATCTCTGATCTGTTTTAAGATAACTTTTATATATGATTTGGGGTCAGAGACTAAACTCATTTTTTACTAATTTAACTAGCATCATTGGTTGAAAAAGCTATCCTTTTCCCACTGAATTACTTTGGCATCTTTGAAAAATCAATAGGTCAGGAATATAAGAATTTTTGTACTTTCAGTTCTGTTTCATCATCTGTATTATCTGTTCTTATGCCAGTACCACACTGTCTTTAGTTCAGAGAACAGTTCTAATGATCCCAGATGAGAAGCTGGGAGGAAAGGAGTACAGAGAAAGGGGAAAATAAATACCTCAATCCTCCGTTTGGCTTTGTCATAAGCCCTTTCTTCTTTAGTTCGATCATCATCAGAGTCGTATTCAGATTCTGAACTCATTTCTTTACTTGGTTTTTTATCTAACATTTTCCCTGCATCCTTCTCGTCGGACACCTTTTCATCTTCTTCATCACCTTCACTGCCTTCACTCTCTCCTTCCTCTTCCTCTTCCTCTTCACTCTCATCTTCTTCACTCTCTTCTTCCTCCTCCTCCTCTTCCTCCTCAGGATTTTCTTTTACTTCTATATGCACCGTGTTTTCTTCTTTCAGGAAAAAGAGATTTGAAAGTTAAAAATGGAGATTTCCATCAACATTATAGAGACCTTAAAGGGAAAAATACTACTAAGGGTGCACGAAGTATGGCAGTAATATTATAAAACATCATGAATGCTAAACTGTTTTCATGCATCATAAATGTAAAGCGTTGGTCACATATTTGCTACAATGCAGACTGCCATTTAACAGTAAAAACTTAATATGTTACTGATCCAGGCTATAAGACAGAACAAGAACCAAGGGGGGGAACACAACACTTAAAATTTCTTTCAGTTGGGGTCATTTGCCAATTCTGCACTTGATCTCAGCCAAAAGCCTGAGAAGCAATGGCCATTCGGAGGAGGCAGCTTAAAGGTGAAGCAGTGCTTAGGGGTCCAGGCACTGGGTCTATTAAAGACTCAAGGGGACAAGGTGGAAAGACATTGGGTAAAATTCTTATTGTGGAATGAAATCCCAAAGAACTGAACACTAGAAGTTAGAATGAATAGGTAATAAACAGGACCTCCCCATTATTGGCCAATCACCTCCAGATTCTATCAATTCTAAATCTAGAATAAGATGATTCAATATTGCTAGTTCATTCAGACTCCTGGTGGATGTACACATAAATTCTCTCTGGAGAAAGAAAAACACCATACCTGATGTCAAATTAGTCCTACAGTTTTACAAGTATAATATCCAGCACAATATATGAAAATAACAAGCCACATGGAAAAATTATGTACATGATGGAAGACAGCAAGCCCCAAAATGAGGGATGCCTGGGGCGCTCAGTTGGTTGAACATCCAACACTTGGTTTGGCTCAGGTCATGATCTAAGGGTCATGAGATTGAGCCCTAAGGTGGACTCTGTACTCAGGGAGAGTCTGCCTGAGATGCTCTCTGCCCCTCCCCCCTTACACTCCCTAAAATAAATAGTCTATTAAAAAATTTGAAAAATGACTATGTTTCTAACATCTAGGGAGCAAAAGATTAAAAAGTTTAGAAAGTAGAAACCTATAAAAAATAGTTAAATGGAGTATCTAAAACTAGAAAATACTGGAAACAAAACTAAGAACCCAAAAGCTGGGTTTAACAGGGGAGTAGAAACAGCTGAAAGCTAGTGAACCAGAAGACAGATAAGAAACACTCTAGAATGAACCATGGAGACTCAATTAGGTGGAAAGCATGAAAAGAAATGAAACACTGATATAGTAAGAAGACATATCATAGACATAACTAGAATCCCTGAGGAGAATAATGGCTCATAACACTGCAAAATCGATAAAAACATAAAACCATGCATTGATAAAACTCTATAGGCAGAATTAATAAAAGAAAATTGACCCTGGCCACATCATACTAAAACTGCTAAAAACCAAAGGCACATGAAAACTTTAGGTTGATATCTGACTTCTCAACAGAAACAATGAAAGGTAACACAACGGAATAATATCTTCAAAATGTTAAATAGAATTTCAGCAAAGAAGAGGAGGAACAAGATGGCGGAGGAGTAGGGACCTAAATTTCGTCTGGTCCCAGGAATTCAGCTAGATAGGGATCAAACCATTCTGAACACCTACGAACTCAACAGGAGATCGAAGAAAAGAATAGCAGCAACTCTGAACAGAAAAGGAACCACTTTCTGGAAGGTAGGACGCGCGGAGAAGTGAATCCAAGGTGATATAAGGGAACACAGACAGCAGGGGAGGGGGCCTCTGTCAGCCACTACTGGCAAGTGATAGAGCAGCGGAGCACTAAATCGGAACTTTTAGAAGTCGGCTCCGCTGAGGGACGTCGCTCCAGTGGCTAAGCGGGGGGTGGAACCCTCGCTGGGACAGTGTGGTCTCAGGGTCACAGGAAGACTGGGGGTGCCTGAGTGTGGCAGAGTTCCGAGGTATCAGAGCGGGGAAGCCGGCTGCAGAGACGGAGCCGAGGAGCGGGCTCTCAGCTCGGGGTTGCCATAAACCGTGATCTGCAGCACAGTTGGGCCACTGCTCCTCCAGCAGGGACCCAACAAGCGGCAGATCCGGGGAGACTCCCCTTCCTCTCCCAGGAGGAGCGACGCGGGAGCACACCGCAGGGATCTGCTGGGTTTGGAGACTCCACACGGGGTTGTGCCAGAGATAGAAACGCTTGGTCACAGGCCGGGTGAGCATGGAGTGGGGCCGGAGACCGGGGAGACGGAAGTGACTGACTGCTTTTCTCTGGGGGCGCACTGAGGAGTGGGGCCTGAGCTCTTGGATCCTCCAGGGCGGAGACTGGAAGTCCACCATCTTCAGTCTCGTCCTCCAAAGCTGTACGGAAAGCTTGCAGGGAACAAAAGCTCCAGGTAGCAAACCCGAGCAGATTACTTAGCCCGGCCCCTGGCAAGGGCAGGGCAGTTCCGCCTCCAGAAAAGACATTTGAGAACCACTGCAACAGGACCCTCCCCCAGAAGATCAGCAAGAACAGCCAGCGAAGACCAAGTTCACTCACCAATCAATGAGAACAGCAGAACTCCAGCACTAGGGGAATACAGCACACAGAATTGATGGCTTTTTTCCCCATGATACATTAGTCTTTCAAAGTTAATTTTTTAATTTTTTCTCTATTTTTTTTAATTTCTCTTTTTCCGTTTTTCAACCAACATCTTATCAATCCCTTTTTTTTTTAAACCTTTTTAGAGTCATACGCTATCACTTCATTGTAGTTAACCTTATTTTTTGTGTATATATATATATATATATATATATATATAAGTTGTTCTCTCTTTAAAATTTTGGGATACAGTATGTTTCTTCTAAGAGACCAAAATATACCCTAAATCTCTAGTGTATGGCTTTGTTCTAGTCTCCTGCCTGATCACATTCTCTCCCTTTTTTTTATTTAATTTCTCTTCTTTCTTTTTTTTTCTTTTAAAGATTTTATTTATTTGGGAGAGAGTGAGAGAGAGCATGAGAGGACAGAGGGTCAGAGCGAAAAGCAGACGCCCCACTGAGCTGGGAGCCGGATATGGGATGCCAGGATCATGACCTGAGCCGAAGGCAGTTGCTTAACCAACTGAGCCACCCAGGTGCCCTCTCTTCTTTCTTTTCTCAACCAACTTATCTTATCAAATCCTTTTATAAAATCTTTAGAATTTTCATCTTTAAACTCATATTCCATCCCTTCATGGTATTTACCCTTATTTTTGTACATACATAAGATTTTCTTTCCTTAAAATTTTGGGAGGTAGTTTCTTCTAACAGACCAAAATATGCCCAAAATCTAGTGTGTGGCACTGATCTATATACCAGCCTGATCATATTTCATCACTTTTTTTTTCTTTTTCTTTCCCTTTCTTTTCCCTAAATCTTGTGATTGGTTTAGTGTATATTTTTCTGGGATCATTGTTACCCTGTTAGCATTTTGTTCTCTCATTCATCTTCTCCTCTGGACAAAATGACAAGACAGAAAAACTCACCTCAAAAGAACAAGAGGCAGTCCTGGCTGCCAGGGACCTAATCAATACAGACATTAGTAGGATGTTGGAACTAGAGTTCAGAATGACAATTATAAAGATACTGTCTAGGCTTGAAAAAAGCATGGAAGATACTAGTGAAACCCTTTCTGGAGAAATAAAAGAACTAAAATCTAACCAAGTCTAAATCAAAAAGACTATTAACGAGGAGCAATCAAAAATGGAGGCTCTAACTCTAGGATAAATGAGGCAGAAGAGAGAATTAGTGATATAGAAGACAAAATGATGGAGAATAAAGAAGCTGAGGGGCACCTGGGTGGCTCAGTTGGTTAAGCGACTGCCTTCGGCTCAGGCCATGATCCTGGAGTCCCAGGATCGAGTTCCGCATCGGGCTCCCTGCTCAGCGGGGGGTCTACTTCTCCCTCTGACCCTCTTCCCTCTCGTGCTGTCTCTCATTCTCGCTCTCTCAAATAAATAAATAAAATCTTAAAAAAAAGAAGCTGAGAAAAAGAGAGATAAACAACTACTGGATCA